ACTATGGATGGATGGATGGATGGATGGATGGATGGATGGATGGATGGATGGATGGATGGATGGATGGATGGATGGGTGGATGGATGGATGGATGGATGGATGGATGAATGGATGGATGGATTTAGTGTGGTAATAGCTGAAACTCATCCCTAACACGTACTTTGAGCTCTAACAGAGTGCCCTAGATTTTTGTTTAAAACTTTGGCATTACCTCCTAGAGTCATCAATGTCTGTTAGCAAAATATCTCGTGAACCAGAGAACGATTTTTTATAAAACCATCAGATTTATGATGGCCACCACAGCTATTTAGTTTTAGCAAACACAAAAATACCCGTAACTCATAAATTTTACAGATACTGGTTTAAAACTTGTTGTGGTAAAACCTAAGAGTCCTGTCCAACACAAACACTGAACGCTAACAGAGTTCACACATTAGTTTTAGGGTTTATCCAAAATGGCTCCAACTCCATCACCTCTCAACATAAGGTGATTTCTGTCTAACGCTGGGCATGAATGTCAGCGGGTGATATTCATTCCTACAAAGAATTTGAGGCCTTGGACTATTTTCTGTTTGGATTTAAAATCCTGCACCCAGAAGTTTGAACACAGTGTGTCCAAAATTTATAAATATATAAATAAATAAAAACTTTTTTCCACAGCCACATGCATTGAGAAATCTCAGTTTCAGCATGAATTTAACAATGTCAGCAAGAATCAAGTTTTACTCCACTGCCCAACTTAACAAGTTGTCATAAAGAGTGCATTCCCTCAAATGTAGTTTATTCTAATGCTGTAACATGTGCAGTGTATCAGAAAACACTAAAGGTGAGAACGTCATCAGAAACAGACTGTATCATCTTAAAGACAAATTAGGTTTCACAGTTTATAAGTTCGTCATGTAAAATGTCCATTTGCATTTCCAAAAAAACGTTATTTGTGTTAATTTACAAAGACTGAACACAATAAGTCAATCGGACATCCAGCCCACTCCCTGTCTGCTCTAACTCTCCACATCTGTCCAAATGAGGTGAAGCCTTTCGACAGCTGAGAGGTATGGATTCTTCGTCAACCCTTCTCTGACCTGAACCCTTTGGGCAGCTCCAGGACCCGGAGAGCAAAGAAGAAAATCTAACCTTCACAGCGGCTGCATGAGTCAGCCTTCAGAAGTTTCTATCGGACTCGCATGTCACGGTGATGTGCAGAGCATACACATATTTTACTTATCTCTCCACACACCCCAACATCCTTTACATAGAGCGTCCAGCAGCTCTGAGGCACGAGCGCACACAAAGTGAATGACACATCACAAATATGATAGATGAGGCAAAAGCTTTGCAACCACGTGGGTTACCGGAGGCCCTGGCAGTCCAGCAGCTGTCATCTCTGTCAAAAGGCAACATTAGCTCTGGGTAACACAGGCCCAATGGAGCGCACGTGACTGAACACTACTGTACCATCAAGCTATCTGGCAGCCATCCTCCTCCAGCTTAAAATAAACATCACTGACCCGAAGAGCCGGGGTCAGAATGATCATAAACAAGCCCAGCAATGGACCGACTAATGCTTGGAAATAAATGAGCTTGTTCATGGAAGTGGAGGCTCTGTGTCATATTCAGATGATGAGCAGAGGAGGAGTACAAATCCTCTCTTCTTATGAAAATAAAGAGAGGTAATTAGCTTCTCGTTGGAATCGGGGCCCTGCGTGACATCTCTTTCACATCCAATCAGAATGTAGGTTAAGTGTGGGGGCAGAGATGACAGTGAAATCACAAGGCTATTTTCAGATGGAAAACTTTATTTAGAAAAACGAGCGCTTCCAGATCCAGTTACAACATCTGCCCTAATTACACATGGCAGGGCTGGTGGTCGAGTCCGCTCACATTTAAATCTTTTTCACTCTGTCAGAGCCGTTCTGCGTGCGGACATGCGTTCAAGGCAAAGGAGTTGCTCTGCTGGGTCTCGGAGGAGCGTTTCTTTCCGAGTTAAGCCGCTCTTTTTGTTGAGGATTAAAGTGGGGGGTGTTCTTACCAATGCTGTTCTTGGTGTCTCTCCTCAGACCACACAGCATGGCTGGAGTTCAGTCACCCCCTCTGGAAGCTGTCGTGTTAGTGAGCAGAGAGTTGAGGTCCCACCTCAGAGAGAGCAGGTCTCAAGCTCTGGCAGAGGTTAGAAAATCATCTCTTGTTCTTCACTCCAACACTTCTAAGCATCTTGGTCCCATGATGCCTCTGGAGCTGAACCTGCTGGTGGACTCCTCACAGATTTAAGATCTATACAATCCAAAAGATGGAGAGGGCCTGTGCATCTCAAAGTGGCCCTCGTCTCTGAGCGATCTTTACAAATGGGCTGAGTGTTCAGGAGAGCTTCTCCTCATGCCCTAGTCATCCACTCACATGAGCTCACACATCACCCCGTCTCCTCCTCTCTCTCTATCTCTGTGTGGGTTTGCTCATGCTCTCTTCCTCTCCGCCAGAGGGGCTCACACACACATAGAAAGGGAAAAAAAAGTCCCTCCCTCTCTCCCATCCGCACATAAACTCACACTTTATCCCACCACATCCCCAAACCCACCCACCCAGTTCACACACTGAGATTAGACGCGACGAAACAGCCCACGCCCCACGCACGGAACTGTCGGCACAATCAACACCACCTGCACACTCGCTGTCAGACTCCGTGTCACGTTTTTCTCACATACAGACTGCAGCCATGTTGCACAGCTTGGATCCGCATGCTTTTAAGTCTCACACACACACACACACAAAATGGAAAATGGATATTGAGAATTCCTCCACAGAACAGGTGACAGATTCAGACAGCAACACTTGAACCCTTGAAGGAATGCATATCGTCCGCCACCACCTTACTGTGAGAAGGTCAAACTGTGGAAATGACATTTTTGCACAATCTCATGAGAGATCTCGCGAGATGCGTTAGCTCTCAGAGAATGAAGGGGATGACCCGCAGCTACTACCACACTAAACTTTAGCTCAATGTCTGTAAAACCAACTAAGAGCCATTTTTGTGCTGGCTAAGGTCAATTAGATGTGGTGGCCAGCTTGAATTGGCTTGACTTCAGGGCTTAATTTGTAAACCCAACGATGCCAGAATGCAATATTTCATTCAAACTTTATTTAGACAGGTAAATCCCATTGAGCCTCGAGGACTCGTTTACAATTACATTATTTACAGTTATTTATTTACAATTACATTTACAATTAACAGGCCAGCTGGGGAGGTGGTGTGTGTGTGTGTGTGTGTGTGTGTGTGTGTGTGTGTGTGTGTGT